CTTTCCAAGACAAAAATCTAATTTGAGAACAGAAATTAAAAATTTATATTTTCCCTCAAAATTCAGCTCAAATAAAGTGACTCAGAAAATTGGAATATAACATACGACCAATAAAGAAACTCAATATTAATACCCGATACCAGCATCGAGTACTCATATCCAACACTCCAAACAGATTCCACAGTTCTGCTGAGTTTTCCTCCTGTGCTGTGCAGCTGTGCAACTCAAAGACTAAACTAAATACATTTATTTTCAGAAGTTATTGTGTGGTATCAGTACTTGGTACCGAAACAGAAGCACTTGTCAAAATTCAAAAGATTGGCATTTCTGCAGTAATTTTTGTTATGCTTAAAATGTTCTATATATTACAAGTTTAAGTAATTAAACTACTAAAATAAAAAACTTTTTGATAGCCTTCTAGTTTTTTTTAGGTGAAGCGGTAGGTGGATTCTTTAGAGTCGCTGTTACACAGAATTTGAAAACACCACCACCTAGCGGTGAGAAAGTGCAACACATCATGGAGCCCTAAAAGCTAAAACATTGGTTGAGTTGTACAGCTTTCATGAGCACACTACATATCACCCAGTGAAAAAATGTACAATATTTTAAAAAAATTAGAAAATAATTTTGTGCAACTATACATACCTGAATATAAGGTTTATACCAAAAAGTGTAAACATGACAACGCTGTAGCCAAATATTCCTATGGCATAGCTGATCTTGTACAGGAGGAGGAACCACTTGTACACCAACCTACAAATGCAATCAGACAGTAAATGCGTTTGACTTGAGACTGTTTTATAATTATTGCAGCAAAAATTTGTCATCTCTCCTTTTATGTGGATATTTGCCTATATTATGCACATCTAAAAACAAGATTCACCTCGGTGTGGTGCAGGCCAGTGGCTTGCGAGTGGCACGGAAGGAGATGTACGCTGTGATGACGGAGAAGATGAACCACGTGGACAGAAACCTCCACCAGTGGAGTTTGGTAGTGAAGTAGAGCGGCACTACCCACATCTGAAACAGTGTCACCAGCTACAAGACAGGAAATGTGCAGAAGCAATAGTGAATTTGAGCAAAAGAAAAAAACGAAGCGGTCAATGTCATCAGAGATGAAGGAAACTGAAGATCCATTTGAACTGAATTACAAACAAGAATGGAAATATCAGTTTTTATTACTCTGTATTAGCGGAAACGACATTGCCGCAACGTGCTGCCACAGATATAATCTAAATGTAAAGATGCATGTTCCTCAACACTGGAGATTTCACAAAAATACTTTTAACGCCGATGCAGACACACATACCTTTTGTCCCACTTGAACAGATTTTGAGACTCAGTATGCAAACCTTTACATGATGATATTTCCAAATTCACACTCAGCTTGTGTCTTTTGTGCCTTACGTTGTACGACTTTGGGTGTCTTTGTTTCCACTGCACGAGTACCAGCTGGGCGACGACCAGGGTGACGATGAGGATCAGCACCATTTCTGCGTGCATGGCCTCATGACCTTTGTGTTTGGCATGCATTTTTGCGTGCTCCACTCTGTTGATAGAGAAGTAAACAAGCAATGTCGGTATACAAGCAACCGCATGATCGGAAGATTTACACCAAAACAGGATATGTGCTCATGCTGGCACATGTGCTGATAGAAATACTGTAGATGGTGTCATCTTTAAAAACAAGAGCAAAATGTATTATAGTATTTTGACCTTGGTAAAACTAGATTATGTTTCAGATAAATGCATTGAAGAGATAGAAACAGATAGTTTCTGTAAATAAATCAGTAATAAATACTGATGTACTTATTACATCAGTATTTATTAAATCTGATGTAATAAATACATCAGATTTATTACTGATGTATTAAGCGAGACCTTGTGCAATATCAGCTGAAAACCTACTGACGTGCAACAATTAACCGTACAGACAAGTCTGAGTGTGACGCATACACTGACCTCCATTTCTCTTCTGGTGAAAGCTTGGACACATCAAACTGTAAAAAGGCAGGGGAAAGGGTAGAAAGTTAAAAAGAGAATAAAATTCCAAAGCGGTAGTTTGGAAATAACTATTAATTTGGTAATTCCTTCATTCTGTGTAAGATCCCAAAACTGCAACACATTTTTTTGGTCATTTGTGTTGTATTGCTAAAACCAGAAATTGAAATCAATCATAATTTTCTATTTTAAAAAAGCCTAATCTCTGTATCACTTGATGTTAGTTTTATTTTATTTACAGAGGTGAGACAACTGACAACTAGTTCTCGGTTAAAACTAAACCTGCATTTTTAAAAAAACTTTTCTAGTCGCGTTTATCACCATGCAACAATCAATTTTATTTCAATCATTAATTCTGGAGGGTAGATTAATTATAAATTTTTTTTGTCATTTAAAGACTCTTTGATGCTCGAATGGAAATTTTTTGTAACTGCTTTCTTTTCTGTTTAATTCAAAATGCTAATTTCCATTGAGATACACGTAGGACTTTTTATGAAATAAAAATACCAAAACAAAGTAAATAAAAAGCATTGGTGGAGTAAAAGCCAAAATGGTGCAGCTCTGATGAAAGAATGCTCTCATTCTGGAATTGTTCACTGTACTTAACAGCTACTGTCCCTCCCGAGTTGTTGAGCTTGTTTAGCAACCTGAATTAGTTTAGAGACTGGTAGGAATCACTGACATACTCCTGTCTTCTTATAATTACCTGGAACAACAGAGAAATATTATATTATATTGTCATCCTAAACAGGAGTCCAGTGAAGGTTCAGATGTACTATCTCAAAAAATTCAGAATATAGCGTAAAGTTCAATATTTATTGTCAGTCATCTCAGAAAGTGAAATTTATTACACAGAGTAAAATATGTCAAGCTTTATTTTAAATTTTTATTAACAGTTTTAATGTTTATGGTCTACAGGTTAAAAAAAATCCTCAAAATTCAATGTCTTAGGAAATTACAATGTCATATTAGACCAATAAAAAACTGATGTTTTAAGCCAACCTCCTGAAAGTTATGTACATTTCTATGCACTTAACACTTGGTTGGATGCAGTAATTCTTGCATGAATTACTGCATCAATGCAGCGTATAGAGGCAACCCCTGTAGCACAGCATGTGAGTGAGATGTACTACTAATACGTAATAATTTGTATTAATTTCTGTGAAGTAATACTGAATAAGGCAATCATTCTTCATTGAATATGATCAGTTCGGCACAATCTTGGATCCCATTTGTTATTATACTGCTATTTCACTGTTCTCAATGTGATGAAGGATAACCAGGCCAAAGGCTACAAAATGATCCACATCTGAATTCATATACAATCTATTCATCTACACAAAGTTGAAACAATAACACAACCTAACACACTGACACACAGTCTCATCACTGTACCTTTCAAAAAGCTAAGTTTAATTCAAACACTGAAATATCACAGGAAGTGCTAAAGTTACTCCCAGTGAAATTACCCGACCTTTGAGCCCCACCAGCCACATCATCTTATACTAAAGATTGCTTTAAAATGTCACTCACAGCTCAGGAAAAATTACAAAGGATCAAAGGATTTATAATCGAGAGAGAAAGGGAAGCACACAAGTAGCTTTGATTGAGTAGGAGCAGGTGATGCTTATGGTCTCAGCAAGGCTGTAATTTTATTTCTGTGTTTGTTTGCATTTGCCGTCCTGGCTCCACAAGTTTAGCTGTTAGTTCACTTGACAACATTCTTCCTCCCAGACACTCTGCCTGGTCATGGTTGTTGAGTTAATCGTGGTAGTTAGTAGTTAGCTAAATCTGGGAGCAGGAGCTAACTCGGAAGCTAGCTCCTTCCCAGACTAACCCTCGGCTCCCTGTTTATTCACATTAGTCCAACCTGGTTCGGTTCATTGTGCTGCTCCAACCCGTGGTCGTGCTCCACACCGTCAACCTCCACCTCAAACACGCCAGCCATCTTCAGAGCTTCTTTAACGTTCCGGGGCCATTAGCATTAGCGGAGCAGCTTAGGAGCGTCACTTCCTGTTTCAAATACCTTCAAAATAAAGTTCCAAATTAAATATAGGTCAATGTTATCATGTCCCCCTCCTCCTCCCCAGAATAACCATAATAGCTAATATTTAACATGTTTTCAGTGGGTTTCAATACCCAGCTTTTTAATGGGTCATTAAATGGGTTACAATACCCATTTAAATGAGCTGTGCGTAGCTTCTAAAATTGTAAAATATTCTGCTTGCTTAACTCTTGAAGCATAATAATATTCTCTGTTTTATTTCATGCAGAAAAAAATGTTCACGACTCTTATCAACAGTACACACAGCAAACTGAATTTGTTGCACCCGTTGCATAAAACCGTTGCATATTTCTTTTGGTTCTATTTTCAAACAGAAATATCCATTGTGAATTGATTGTTCTTATTAATAACTTAGGCTTCACATTCTTGCACAGTCGGAGTAAATATTAATTATTGTTAGCTTCATGCACTTTTTCTCTTAAAATGAACTGTAGAAGTGAAGAGGAACTCCGGGAACATGTTTCAAAAGCTACAATTATAGAACCAGAATTAAAAATAGCCTGAATTTCTCATATAAAAATTAAACAGTTCAACATTATCTCGATATCAGTGGTATATTTCCTAAATAATGTTAGTTTTGACTGTCAAAGAAAACGCAACATGGTCATATAACTTTATTGTTTACTTAGGTATCAATTAAAAAATTAGAAAATTATCAAGCATTAATACAAAAATGGAAGGGCTTTTTATAAACCCGAACAGGTCGTTGTTGGGGTTATTATCACCAAACTGCAAAGAGACAACCGTAGCCAACAGCAGACTGTTTATTCCAACAGTCTGCTATAAAAACCAATCACACAAGCGGCTGTTCTCTGCTTGTGATTGGTTCAGAATCTCCAAATCAGCGCTGATTGGCTGAAAACACCGACACTGTCCTGAGCTACAGCCTGTCAGCAGCGTTCGGCTTGTTGGCGCTCAGTTTGAGATTCAATGTTGCAGAGGATAATAAGCTGTAACAATCGTTTCATAGTTTTATTCTCTTTCTGCCTCCGACCGGGAAGAAAGCACTGAAACCTCAATTTTAGGAATAAACAGCTGATCTTCCGTCAACATGCACGTGATTAAGCGAGGTATAGTCATCAGGTTTGGTCTTTTTCTCCTTGTCAGAAAAACACGAAGTTATTTTTCTGCAAACCTCGTCCGACCTCTGAAAGGCAGTGTGCGTGTCTACACGGTGAAGGCTGTTTTATTTTACAGTATATCACATCACAGACGCTGCGGCGTGTTTTAGTTTCTTTGTGTGCAGTTTCAGTTTCCGCCAAAACAGAACAAAGAATCCAGTTAAGACACGACAGAGTTGAGGATTTATATGCATGTTCTAAGATTTCCCTTTTAAAAAAGAAATATATATATATATATATATATATATATATATATTATATATATATATATATATATATATATATATATATATATATATATATAGAATATGTATTATATTTTCTCTGCATTCAAAATACGTTTTTCTCTTAAACAAACGCATCTGAACCGAAACCCAATGAACAAATATACCTTGTTTAGTTGTTTATTTTGTCTATTCACTTTGATTTTTATGCAGAATAGATTCACAAACTTAGACTGTATGAATGTCAAAATAAGGCGCGCTTCTGTCATCTTGGCGCTGCAAAACAAAATGTTGACTGTGAGCTTCCTGATCATCCGGATCAGCAAGTTATTTGTTGTTTGATGTTTGAGACAACAAATTAAACTCCGCTTGACATTTAATATCATTAAACTTCTCTAGTGATTTATTTCAGAACCTGGGTTAATAAATATATTTTTTAAAACCCTCTCTTTTGTGTTTTTCTCTTAGATGGGCGCCAGGAGGGAGTTAGTTTTGATAAAATCACGTCCCGCATTCAGAAACTCTGCTTTGGGCTCAACAGCGACTTTGTGGACCCTGTAAGTTCAAACAACAGAAACAATAATCACACAGGAATGCACACCTTGTTCTGGCATAACCTCTCTCTATTTATGCAGACCCAGATTACTATGAAGGTGATCCAGGGTCTGTACAGTGGGGTCACCACTGTGGAGCTGGACACTCTGGCTGCAGAGACTGCTGCCACTCTCACCACCAAACATCCCGACTATGCAATCCTGGCTGCTCGGATCGCTGTGTCCAACCTGCACCGAGAGACCAAGAAAGTGTTTAGTGGTATGTTTGCTGTTTGTTGTTTCATAATAAGTGAAAAGTATTAACACCCCCGAAAGATTTGCACATTTTGCCAAATTGCACCCACAAATTTCCACGTATTCTGCTAAGATTTAATATTTGATACAAAAATAATGGCAAAGAGGAAAGAAGAGCAACTTATTTGTTTAATAAGTCACATAATTACATACAGCTTCATAATGACATCCATTGCTTCCTGTAAGATATTACTTACCTCTGTCACGACTCAATGTTGGAATCAACAACCTGTCTGCTTCCCACACAGACGTGATGGAAGATCTGTACAACTATGTCAACCCCTTAAACAAACGTCACTCCCCGATGATCTCCAAGGAGACGCTGGACATTGTCCTCGAAAACAAGGACGTAAGTAAACATGAGCGAAATTACATATGCTTGTGCCTTTAGATTTCAAATTGAGCTAATTATGTTTCGCCGGTGTTAACATGGCAATCTCGACTCTTGCAGCTCCTCAACTCAGCCATCATTTACGACAGAGACTTTTCTTACAACTTCTTTGGTTTTAAGGTAAGACTTTGCTTTTGGTATCAAATTTTAGCAATTAGCAAGCACATTGACAGATTTTATTTGGTTTTCATAGACTCTCGAGCGATCATATTTGCTGAAGATCAACGGCAAAAGTATGTTTACTTATTTGTTCAGAATTTACTTTCATGATTGTAAATGTCCCCATCAAATTATTTATCATTTTGTGGCCCTAAATTATTGTTCACCACTTTCCATAGTTGCTGAGAGACCCCAGCATATGCTGATGAGAGTCGCAGTCGGGATTCATAAAGGAGACATTGATGCAGCTGTTGAAACGTACAACCTGCTTTCAGAGAAGTGGTTCACTCATGCCTCTCCTACCCTGTTCAACGCTGGAACCACCAGGCCTCAGCTGTCCAGGTAAATAAGGTGAACGCTGCACACTTCCTGTGAGAAATTTAAATTCTCTCGTCATGGGAATGAGTGACTCAAGTTAATGACGCCTATGAACCATTTCTCGGACAGTTGAACAAGAATTGACTTTAATGAATGGGTGGAGACATTTTAATCGATTGAGGGATCAGATATTCATCCATAAGTTTATTGATGACTTTGAAAAGTCAATAGTTTACTAAGGGATATTAATGGTGCGTATGTTGGCATAATTCTGGACCGAGAAGAAAAAAAATGTCAAATGATTTAAAACTTGTTTGCTCAAGCCCCATTTTTGAAATTCATTGAAGCTATTTTTTTGTCTCGTCAGTCCTTTATGGAAAGGAAAAACTCAAATGCAACATTAAAAGTCTAAAATTTAAATAACTTTCAGGACTATTCCTGACAAGTGTATTTGTACTCCAAGAAAGCATAACCTAAACTTCAAGTTAATCTTTTTCGCAATTCAACCTCTTGGATGACTTTTACAGTTGTTTCCTGCTAGCCATGAGTGACGACAGCATCAGCGGTATTTACGACACGCTGAAGCAGTGCGCGCTCATTTCCAAATCAGCAGGGGGCATCGGCCTGGCGGTCAGCTGTATCAGAGCGACAGGCAGCTACATTGCTGGTGTAAGTCACATAAATGCAGCCAAGACTAAAATCAAACTTGATAATTTGTTCTTTTGAACAACCAGATGTAATGTATATGTTATGTTTTTCAGACCAATGGCACTTCTAACGGGCTGGTTCCCATGCTGAGAGTGTACAACAACACAGCACGCTATGTGGACCAGGGCGGCAACAAGGTGCCAAAGACATTGAAGGAGTCTAACAATGACACATAAAAAGGTAATTGAAGAGCTTCCTAATCCCTTAGTCTCACAGCCCATTGTGTTTATAGAGACCAGGGGCCTTCTCTGTGTACCTGGAGCCATGGCATGCTGACGTGTTTGAGTTTTTGGAGCTGAAGAAGAACACGGGAAAAGAAGAGCAGAGAGCCAGAGACCTGTTCTTTGCCTTGTGGATTCCAGACCTCTTTATGAAGCGAGTGGAAAGCAATCAGGTGAATCCCGAGAGAAATTTTCTGTCAGGTAGATCTGGGGTGGATTTATCACAAACCTTGTGTCCATTCCTCTGTCCCCGTAGGTCTGGTCACTGATGTGTCCAAGCGAATGTCCTGGGTTGGATGAGTGCTGGGGAGAGGAGTTTGAGGAACTCTACACTCGGTAAATACGACACGGCAAACAGGGGTTTTTTCCACCAAGTAGTGTGTTTTTCAAGGCTAATGCCTCCTTGCCGATCACATCCATTTCCAGTTACGAGAAGGAGGGCAGGGTAAAGCGTGTGGTGAAGGCTCAGCAGCTCTGGTACGCCATCATCGAGTCGCAGACAGAGACGGGTACCCCGTACATGCTCTACAAGGACGCCTGCAACAGGAAGACCAACCAGCAAAATCTGGGCACCATCAAGTCCAGCAATCTCTGCACAGAGATTGTTGAATACACAAGTAAAGATGAGGTGAATATGCTGACCCCTACAGGTTGAGATTGTTCCTACACGTCACCATGACTGGCCTTCTGCAGTGTGGTGACGTTAGATCATTTCAATCAGCTCTGCTCTGTCTCTAACTCAGGTTGCAGTGTGTAACCTGGCTTCCATCGCCCTCAACATGTATGTGACCCCAGAAAGGAGCTTTGACTTTAACAAGCTTGCATCTGTAACCAAAGTGATTGTCAGGAACCTAAACAAGATCATCGATATCAACTACTACCCAGTGCCTGAGGTATGACTCCAGCGCTAATGGCTCCGGGGAAGCTGACCTCCCTGTAGCTGCAGTTCCAGTCAGATGTTTACGTAATCAAATATTATGATGATTAAGAGGTTAATCAAATCAGAAAGTTGCATATTCTGCAGATATTGAATTTAAAACCTGAAGCTTATTTTACAAAAAATTAAGAAAAGTACATTCCTTTTTAAATAAAAGAAAAACATTTTATTGCCTAAAATATGCATTCCTTTAGTGCATGTATGATTATTTGTAGAAAAGAATGCATCTGCAGATAAAAAAATAGTTAATGCTCATCTTAAAATCTATAAAGTGTAGGGATAATGTGTAGATTTCTTTTGTTAATTATTGAATAGCAGAAGGTGCTCAAGTTTTTTTTGTTTTTTTTTTATTTGAACTTGGTGAAGCTCAAACTCCTACTAAAGATGTTCTGAATAGACCGTATTTACACAGTTTTTTTTTTAAAATTCAAAATCCATAAATCTGTCCAATTAATGCTCTAAATATGTTGTTCTTTCTGCAATTGGCTTCTTTTTTAGTTTGTATGCTTTAACAATGAATCATCAAGTAAATGAGCAGAAACAATTATTTTAATAAATTCATCAGCAACAAAAGAATGAAACAGTAAGTTTTTCTTTTAAATACCACTGCCTGCTTCCTGCATTACAGGCTGAAAAGTCCAACAAGCGTCACAGGCCTATTGGAATCGGTGTGCAGGGTCTGGCCGACGCCTTTATCCTCATGCGCTACCCGTTTGAAAGCCCAGAGGCCCAGTTACTCAACATTTACATCTTTGAAACCATCTACTACGCCGCCCTGGAGGCCAGTTGTGAGCTGGCAGCAGAATTCGGCCCGTATGAAACCTACGCAGGCTCTCCTGTCAGCAAGGGAGTAAGTAGTCTTCACACATTCATTTGGAGAAACAGCTCTCGAATCTGCAGATTAGAGTTTAAATTATGTGCTCATCATGCTGTTCTGCCTTTCGTTTATTGATTTTTTTTAGATCCTTCAGTATGACATGTGGGAAAAAAAACCAACAGACCTGTGGGACTGGAAGGCACTGAAGGAGAAAATTGCCAAGTAAGTCTACGTGAAACCTTCACTTCCTCTTGTTTTAAACATCTGTTTTCCTGTAGCAGATCCTTTATTCACCCTACATGTTAAATTGTTTGTCCTTAGGCACGGTGTGAGGAACAGTCTGCTTTTGGCCCCAATGCCCACAGCTTCCACTGCCCAGATCTTGGGCAACAACGAGTCCATTGAGGCGTACACAAGCAACATCTACACTCGCAGGGTGCTCTCAGGAGAGTTCCAGGTCAGCGCAGAATGCATCTGCTGCTTCAAATATCTCTCTAAAAAAAACCAGCAACAACAAAGAAACAAACATCAGGACTTAGTTTAGTCATGATCCAAATCTTGTTCATATAGTTGTGATTTGCAGACTGTGTACTGGTCCAGTATACTACTAATCAGTGTGTTGGACTTGTTCTTCAAGAATCGGTGTATTGAAATCTGTTCCATTTTGATAGTTTGTATAGTTTTTGTATAAAAAGAGTCACAAAAATCCAGTTAAAAATGAATGGGACGTATCCTATTTAATTTATTTGCATTCAGTGATGCTCTGGATTCTGCAGAATTTGGTTTTCTTAGCAGTGACAAATATTTTGTCCAAACAGAACTTTCTTAAGAGCCAAAGATCTGCATCCGACACGACAAATCCAGCGACAGTCAAAGCAACTTAAACCTTGTTCCTGTTGACTGGTGCTACTGCTAGGCTAGTGCTAACATGTTTATTAGCTGCTCTTGATAGTCTGCTGTGTGGTTACATGTAGAGACAAAACCTACCAAAAAAAAAGTTATTCCCCAGCTTTATGAACAGATATTTGCTTTAAATGTCATGAAATTTGATTGTATTTCACCTGCTTTCTTTGGAGCTGCATGAAAAGTTGTCTGGGTTTCATAGATGCAGGGCCATCTCTGTTTTACTGTGATTTGACAAAACAATGTGTGTTTGCAAGTTTTTATTGATTGTAAAAATTGCAGACGCATGACTCATTGCACCTTGTAATGAATAAAATTATAGATTAACTATAGATTTAATAGTTAAATCCAGTCCTGGAAAAAATTTGCGGGAACAGGAAACATGAGTGATATTTAAGACATCCGTAAAGGAAGAAAAAATTGCTTTAAGATCTTTTAAATAATTTGTTGTATAGATTGTGAATCCCCACCTGCTGAAGGACCTCACAGAACGAGGGCTGTGGAACGAGGATATGAAGAACCAGCTGATTGCACAGAACGGCTCCATCCAGGTAAAACTAAATAAAAAATCTTCAAGAAAACATTTTATTCTTCAAGAAACAGATTTTATAACATGCTCTCACTTCTTGCTTAGGACATCAAAGAGATCCCGGATGATCTGAAGCAGCTCTATAAAACAGTTTGGGAAATCTCCCAGAAAACTGTCCTCAAGATGGCAGCAGATCGTGGCACCTACATCGATCAGAGTCAGTCTCTGAATATTCACATCGCTGAGCCAAACTACGGCAAACTCACCAGCATGCACTTTTATGGATGGAAGTTGGTACGTCTGGACCCAAATATACAACCTCAGAGTATCAGCAGGAAGTCCTAATAATCCCCGTCCTTTCTTGCGTGCAGGGCCTGAAAACCGGCATGTACTACCTCAGAACGAAGCCCGCTGCCAACCCCATTCAGTTCACCCTGAACAAGGAGAAACTGAAGGAGAGCCAGTCAGCAAAGAGCCTGGAGGAGGAATCCAGAGAGCGCAACACAGCAGCCATGGTTTGCTCCTTAGCCAACAAAGATGAATGTTTGATGTGCGGCTCCTAAGACGAGGAGCGAGTCTCTCCAGCTCCATCCTATGAATTTCAGGTTGATCTTTGTTTCAAACGAGATCAGCCATTTGGCATTAAATGTGGATGCTAATGGAGACATAAAAAAAATTCAAAGCTCACTGACCAGCTGCAATAAAAATTTTTGGGGCTTTTTCTTTGCTTCTATTTATTAAAATATGAATAATTTTTCTATTTGTACTGCAATAAAAATAAAATAAATAAAAAGGAGTGGGTAATGTGTATGTTCTGTACTGTAAACATCTTTGTTCAGATTGTTTAGCAGCTGCTCTACACCAGGATGCCTCCTGATCCAATAATTATAAAACCACAAAGCCCTTTGTCGAAACCATTTTGAGTTGGTTTGAACTGACCAAACCAAGGCTGACTTGAAACAAATCGAATGGAAGCAGAATGTCTCTTATCCAGCAAACATAAAATGTAATATCGCAAGCGTCTTTCCAGTGAAGGAGAACGTAATGTGCCCTGGGACAAATGACGCAGCAGGTGAAAGATTAATGACTTGGTGTGTTGGTTCATGCCCCAGAGAGGAAAACGGTGCTAAACAAGCAGGGACCTGCGTCTTTCACTCTGTTGCATAAACTGCAGAAAAAACACTTAATGAAAAGAAAGTGGAGGAACATATCCGTGAACCCGGTTATCAAATAAGTTACAGCCCAGTCAACGGATTACGGAAACAAATTATATTCACCAGTAGAGAATCTTTAATGGAATGGTCTTGCCAAAAAAACAAACAACAAAATCAGAGCCAAGAGAAAGGTTTTATTGCTATCAATCATCCCTGTGTATGCGCTGATAAATGTGCTAATGGTGGAGAAACAACTTACTGTTCAGACGTCATCGGCAGACTAGCCTTAGCGTCTTAGTTAAATGCTTATAAGAAGTAGTCATAATAAAAAGAAACTACTCCTTATATTAGTTTTAGGGTTTCAAAGTGTTAATGATTTGGTATTCATCAGTAATATAAATCTAACCTCAAATGTACAGAAATTAGAGATTTATCAAATCACGCACCGACACTAAAAATGTGTTGAATGTTGAACAGATTTGACTTCCTTTAATGCCCAGAGCAGGTTTCTGTCCTCAGCGGTTGGGATGCTGAGGCTCTTGGAAAGTAGTGGGGAGATTATGAAATGCTAACACAAGTCAATATTGCGATTGCAGTTTTCAGCAATAGTATTGTAAATAACAGGAACTGCCCAGAATGTAAAATGTTAATGTTAAATAGTATATCTGTTTGTTTTCTGTGTGAACCTGTCCTCCTTTGGGTCAAATCCTTGTTTAGCTGCACTTCAGGTTACTTTTTTACGCATTAGTCCTTACAGACGTAGGTTATTTGCAGTCTTACACCTGAAAATATCTGTATGTACAGTGATATTTATCTACTGAGCCTTTTTTTCTTTTTAAACTTCTCAAATTTTCTGGCTATCAGAGACCCATCATGGTTTTACTGGTGTGCCGTCAATCGATCCTTCCCCTTCCTGTGAACCAAAGCCGGTGTCGTTGGAGCTGCTGCTCCCTGTTGGAGACTGAATCACTTTCTTATTTCCGGTTTTCTCGTCCCCCTTGGTTACATGAGATCTTTCCACAACATTACCCCCATGCTTCTTTCCCTTCATCCATCCTGGCTCGTCTGGTTTTTCTTTCAGCTCCATGTTATTGAACTTGTTTATCATTTTCTTCGCATCTGTTGTTTCAAAATTAGTTTTGCTGCCCTCTATTCGTTCAGGTCTGATCTCTGTGAGATTTTCTGTCACCTTGGGGTCAATCTCTCCTTGCCTTTTATCCTCCTTGCCCTCTATGCTCTCAACTTCCACCTTTTCTTCTACTCTAATAAAACCCATCCCTTCTGAGAAGTCCTCTTTTACTCCATCATCATTTTTCCTTACTTCTACAAGCTCTGTATTTTCAGTTTCTTTCCAATCCCCAAGCTCTGTTTTCGCTCGTCCCTCTTCCATTTTCACCACCTCGCAGTCTGCAGACTTATCCAATTCTTCTTCACGTTCATCCACCTGATCCAATTGTGCATCTGTGTCCTGCCGCGCCTCTGAATCGGCCTTCCTTTCATCGGCCTCTTCCTCTTTCTGGTGAACTGTCACTTTAAGCGATGTGCTTTTGTCATCTTGCCTGCTGTTAAAACCTCTGAAGTTATTCTTGGCACCAATGATGTATTTCCCCAGCACAGAGGAACCGTCCTTGGTCAGTGCGTCGTTTGCAGCGTGTCCATCAGTCATCAGAAGCTGCTGGATCCCTTTCATTTCAAGATGCATCCTGGAGACCGCCTTGTTCAGCTCTGTGATTCGGTTACCGATGTCTTAGGGGAGAAAACACAAATCACATCACAGTAATTAGGTTTGCTAACGGCAATTAAATTTAGTTGGAAACGCTCCTTTAATAGGAAAGGCTAACACTATGGATATTTCATTACGCAAGCTTCACACTGTATTCATCACAAATTACAGTTTCTGTTGATCAGCGTGATTTAATTTCAAGGTTCCAACACATCTTTAATTTGCAAATTTGATACTTTTCCAGTCTCAGACCTCTAGATTTGTTTTGGGAGGTTTCAGAAAATAGAAAATTCTTAAAGTTTGTGTTGAAAATAACATTTAGCAGCTTAAATGTCAATCTAGCCTCATCTACAGGATCCACCAACCATGAAACATTTAATTTTGTTTTATTTAAAACCTAAAATAAAGAATAACAATGTGGCAAATCAAAGTTGTTAGTTCTTTGTCAGATCTATGATGTACAAATGCAATCTCTAAATACACTAAGAACATGTTTTTGTGAATATATAAATTTTAAAGATGGTCACAGCAATGTTATAAACATTATTAGAGAAGTTGTTTACAGTCAAAAAAAGACTTTCAGGCGGAAAGTCTCAACATTTTATGAGACATCATGTAGACAATTAAAAACAACAACAGAAAAATCCAGTTACAAAACGGCACAGAACTGGTTGATTTCTTGGAGCAAAACGTCTCGGCGGATTCTGGGAATCCAAATTAATTTCTACACACAAGATAAAGCAGAAAACTGATGTGATCTTTGGACTCTCATGAGTCACCACATTAGAACAGAACATTTTCTTGAGTTAAAATCCCAGCACAGACTCAGAATAACCTCCTTGTTAAAGGGCACGGCTTTCAGAGCATCCACAAATGCATGTTAAAGTTTGAACATTCGTCTTAAATAAGCTCATTGTTCTCAGGCCTAAAAATGGGATGCACTGAACTGAGCTAAATGCAAAACTATTTGATGGTTTGATGAGTTAAAATAGTGGAGATGTTTGCAGAAATCATGGACACTGCTTCCTCCAGGCTGAAGAGGATGGGAACAGTCTGCTTTGTTACAAACTATATTCATGGATCAATAATAGATAGTGTAAGCTCCTGGATGCAGAGGTGAAAGAGAAACTAATTTGATGTCATAAATGAATCACCAGTTCACTAAAATCTACAGCTTAACTAACCTGAAAATAGTTCTTAACCAAAAAGACCAAACGGAAATGGGTTGAATAGTATGGCAGTCAAAATTTCCCCACTGATGTGTCATCGCTTATTGGAAAACAGAAACTGAAGTGAGCACCTCTTACTTTCTGATTTTAAAAAAAACGGCAGGAGGCATCTAATTGTCCTGTCAGTCTATGCCAAATACACAATACAGTCTATGCTCTTTCAGTCTTAATTACTTCTACCACTCGCTGATATCTGCTGTGTTTTGTTGTCATCAGTTTCATTTTCTTTCTGTTTATTTTTCAAGTTTCTTTGATTGTTTTAAATCAAAGTCTTTCCTTTCTTATTAACTAGTGACCATATCCGAGATTTATGTATGAAAAATATCGCCCCTTTCATTTGCATCTCTAAGACATTACATTAGCAAACTGGCACAGTCTTCTCTACTTAAAGCAATTAGAAGTTGCAACTTATTATCGTAACATATGCAACTTGCAGAAAGTGTAACACTTTACTTTTCATGCTGTAAAACACTGGTATTATTCTATGTCTCACAGACTATATTACTGCAACTTAACTGTGTTTATATAAAGAGTTTGTTACCTTTCCTCTTGGCCTCCTCGAACTCCCTGCGAGCTGACTCGATGTAGCGCTGCACCAAAGCTCTGATCACCTCCTGTCGGTAAGGCAGGTTGTTCTCCGTTCCTTTGTCGTTAGACTTTTTCAAAGAAAACATTTAGTCTAATGCATTAAAGCAAAGTCGAAAGTGATTAGCAAAGAGCACTGAACACACTCTTACCATAGAGGCTATGGGAGGGTATTTTTGCTCCGAGTTTAAGTTGCAGCAACAGCAGAGACATTTAAAAAATCCCCTTGAACACAATTTCAGAAAGTTACAAAGTACAGCAATAAAAGCAAAACATATAAAGTGTTGTGGAAGATTTGAGCTCACCTCAGGATGTAAAACACAGCTTTGGGAGAAGGGATGATATTGAAAGGCACAGGCATGGTGAGGCCCTCTCTGAAGTAGCTCAGGTACAGTTTAGACCGGGCAAATTTCCACTCCACATCTGCATCGTCCTGAAATCACACAGAGGACCTCAGATTCCATCTGTCATCTTCCACGAAACGCAGCCACAGAAGACCTGTTGCTCCATACCTCAATCTTCTGAAAGGAGTTTGTAATCATGGCAATCAGCATGTTGAGCAGGACGATGACGATAACAAGGGTGAAGATGCCGTACAGGATCCGTCCTACAAACTCCGCTAAAACAAACTGTGGCATGTCCACGTAGTCCTGGTTGGCCACACCAAACATGGTCCAGAATAAGAAGTTGAAGGTCTCATTAAACCTGTGGTAAAGTTGTGAAGTATCATCAAAATGAGATTGATTTTATGAAATAATAAAAAAAAAGGCTTTGGAAATGTTTGCAAGAAAACTGCAGCAAATGCAATGCATGCATTCCAAAATCAGGCTCATGCTACTGTGTTCATACCATCACTACTTCTCTAATCCTGTAGTTCAGGTTTCTATAAACCTGAACTGCCCACGTTCTCACCTGCCAAGATGTGGAGAGATGACATAAGGAACGTAGACATTGTTGATGCCACAGAGGAAGGCCGTCCCAATGATCATCAGTATAAACATGAACCTGTGAAAGAGAGAAACCTGTTGATGTGATTCGAGTTCCTCTCTAAGCTCTGTGAATATCCAGATCCAATGCCGTCACCTCATCATGTCGTCGATCATCTTCCCTATGGAGATC